ACGTGCGCGATCTCGCGTGCGCGCTCGACTTGATTACCGTGCAGCTGGAACTGCGTGCACCTGCTTTGCCCCTGGCGGATGCGCGCCCTTGTGTTGTGGCTGCGCTCGACGCGATGGTGGCGGCTGTGCATGCATCGTCCCTGTCTGCCTCGCATGCTGCGCCACTCGCCATGAGCCTATTGCGTGTGCTCGTGGCGCTATCGTTGCCTCCGCCTGCACTCGGCGTGGTCGTGGCGCAGGTACAGGGCGCCTTGCCCACCAGCGATGGCCCAACGTCGATCTGGGTCAAAGAGGTAGGGCGTGTATCGCCCGATGACTATGCGCATACACTAGAGGCCTTGGGCGCCGCGTTTGAGCCCGGCACACCCTATACGGCCTCCGAGCTGGCGGCTCTGCTGCCTGTGGTGGCCCTACTTTTGCAGCACGGCGCTCCTGGCACCGGGCCTGCCGCGCGTACCCACTTGACGGCCTTGTTGCGTCGTCTCGTTGTGCTGGTACCCCATGCACCTTCTGTGACCCTTGCCACCGTGCAGCTGCTCGAGCGCGTGTGCCTGAACCGGGTCCGTATACTGCAAGCGCCAGACGCCCTGTTCGTCCTGACCGTGCTGGGCCTCGTGGTCGGCGCTCATACAGACAAAGCTCCGCTGTGTGAGGCTGACGCTTCAGCGCTCTTCCAAAGCATATGTGCAACGCTGCGCGCGCTTGTGCGGCAACGCAAGGACCTGATGCGCCTGTGCCTCCCTCACTTGACCGATCTTGTGGCGCGATTGTGCTTGCTGCTCTCGAGCTTTGTGCGTGCGCATCCTGGCGAAGCACTCGTGCGCGATATGGCTGCCGCACTCCCTGCATGGTTGGATGTGAGGCAGGCGCCACTCACCGCCACCGATGCGCGAGCGCTGGCGCGCTTGCTCAGCGAATTGGGCGCCAAGACCAGTGCGGGAGCACCCGCTGCGAAGCGCGCCCGCTTGGCACCTGGGGCCACGACCGAGTCGCTGCGGCAGCCCTTGTCCAAGTATGCCGTATACATGCTGCTGGCCTATGTGCGGTGTGTAACGATGCCACACACAACCGTGGCTGCTGCGCTACGAGCCGAACTGCAGCCCGGTCTCCTTGTGCTGTGCGACTTGTGTGGCGAGTATGAACGGGATGCTGCCCTCAAGCATGCGCTCGATGCGAGTGGACAAGTCGTGTTCCAAGCCCTCTGGGCGGACTGGGAGCGCCAGCGGTACAAGGGTGCCTAAATCGACGTGCGTGCCGCTGTCTCGACACGCAGGGTCAGCATAAGCAGGCCGGCCACGAGGAAGAGCGTAGCGGACGTGTAGATCGGCGGGTCTGACGACGACGAATAGATGTAGATAAGCGTCGCGACAATGCCCATGAGGCGGTTCAGCATGGCTGCCACACCATCGGCCGTACCGCGCAGCGGTGCAGGGAACGATTCAGGCGTGTAGCAGTACAGCACACCGTACATGATGTTTTCGAAAAAGTTGGTCACCGAGAAAAAGGCCAGCTGCCCTGTGGCGCTCGAGCCAACGCCCGTAAAGCCAAACAAAAAGACACCCGAGAGGATCGTGCCGATCGCCATGGCGCCACGACGTCCTGAGCGGGGCCACGTTACCATCCACGCTCCAATCACACTCCCAGGCACACCACACACGGATATAATCACATAGTTGCGGTACGTTTTGTACAACGAATTGTCACCGGACGAGCCAAGGTAGGTCACAATGAAGGAGTTGAACAAGGGGTAGGCAAGACCAATGAGGAGCCACAGGAACCACGTCATGGCTGTCGTGTACCCGAGCGCCCAGCTCGAAAAGAGCGGCTTGATCTGCTTAAGGAAAGAGCCTCGCTTGGCATGCTGCAGATTCATGCGCACCTCGGTGACCCAGTGCGTAGCCTGTGCGAGGAGTCCGTGCGGCTCCTCGTCGATATCGTCGTCACCATCATCCACCGGCTCGCCGGCTGCGCGGCGTAGCTCGGCCACGGTGAGCATGCCCTCTGGTAGTGGCTTGCCACAAAGGGCCGCAAACCGATGCAGCGCGCGCACCGCTTGCGCGTCGCGCCCGTTGGCCAAGTAGTATTTGGGACTCTCGGGCAAAGGAAACACGAGGAAGCGAATAAAGAAGCAAAAGAGCGTGTACGCGCCCGTCGTAAAGATAGCGTAGCGCCAGCCATTGTTCGGGCTGAGCCATCCCTGCGAGTTGTACTGGCCCTGGCACGCCTCATGCTTCACGCAGCTCCAGCCACTGATAAAGCCCCAGCTGATGAGGGAGGTGACCAACTGGCCCAGCGACCACGAGACAGACAACAGTGTCAGTAGATATTGGTGGCTGCCGGGCAGAAACTCGAGGAAGAGCATGCCATCGACGGGCAAGCTACCGCCAATACCAAAGCACGAGGCGCCGACCAAGCCAGCGAGAGCAGTGAACGATTTGGCGCCGCCCGCCGCGATGCCAAACACGCCGCAGATGAGCAAAGTGACGTTGAATGATACACGGCGGCCCACAATGTCCGCGAGGTAGCCCCATAGCGTGGCACCAACCACCATACCCGCAAACAGGGACAGGGTCAGAAAGGCCGAGTTGTTCTGAGGATGCTCCAGGTCCGCCGCCGTGAAGAACTCCGCCTCGACCTGAGGAAGAATTACCGCGATGAGTTGCAGCCACGCATTGTCGAGGAACCAGCCCATTCCAGCGACTACGAGAAGCCACCATTGCCATGCATTCATGCCAATATGCTCATTGATAATCTTGTTGAATACATATACCTTGCGGGTGTACACATCGTCGACTGCGGCAGCCTCGACATGCGCATGACGCAAAGCCTCTGTGCCGGCATTCTCCTTTTTCTCAGGATCTATGGCGCCTTGCTCGTCCACCGCCAGCGTCTGCTCGCCCCACTTCATGGATGCCTGGCAGGCCGGTGAAGTTTGTGTGGTAGGCGACTCAGGGGCACCACGCGCGATGGGGATTGGCTGGCCATGCAGGGCCATGCAGCGAAGATGAACGTCTTCTTTGGGCGTTACTAGGAACGTGGACTATGGTTGAGGCAGTATTACAGGGCCGTGCGCGCCGCCGTTTCCACACGCAGCGTGAGCATGAGAATGGCACAAACGATGAAGAGGGAGGCTGACACGTAAATGGGTGCCGAGGCATTATCACCGCCGTAAATTTTAATGATGGGTGCAAGGAGACCAAAGAGACGATTGAGACTGGAGCCGATGCCGTCTGCAGCACCACGCAAAGGTGCCGGGAACATTTCTGGCGTGTAGCAGTACAGTACGCCATACATGATGTTTTGCGTAAACGCGATCACCGAACTAAAGGCGAGTTGCGAGTCGGAGCTGTCGCCCACGCCCGTAAAGCCGAACAGAAAGACACCTGTTAGGAGCGTACCAAAGGCCATCGCCCCGCGACGGCCACTGCGAGGCAAATCCACTAGCCAAGCAGCTAGCAGTGAGCCGGGAATACCACACACGGAAATAATCACATAGTTGCGGTACACAATGTTGTCGGGGGTCGAGTTGTCTGGGCCACTCAGGTACAGCACAATAAAGGCATTAAAGAGGGGATAAGCCAGACCAATGAGCGCCCACAGCAGCCAAATGATCGCAGTCGTGTACCCCAGCGCCCAGCTCGAGAACAGCGGCTTGAGGTGGTGGAAAGGATTGTGCGACTGACTGTGGCCCACATTCAGCCAAAAGTCATTCAACGCGTTTTGGAACCGGCCCTTGAGCGTAGTCGGCGCCATTTCTTCAACGGGCTCGTTGTCCATGTCCATGTCTTGTCCGGCCGCGCTGCGCAGCGTGGCGACTGTCAGTAGGCCATCTGGCAATGGCTTCCCGCACATCTTGGCCAGCTTGTGCATCGCAACGACGGCGTCTGCATCGCGTCCTTTGGAAATCAAAAACTTGGGACTCTCGGGAATGCGAAAGATGAAAAAGCGCGCAATAAAGCACAGCAATGTGTAAGCGCCGGTCGTGAATAGGACATAGCGCCAGCCGACATTGTGCGTACGCCAGCCACGGCCGTTGATTTCGTAGCAATTGTCACCATCGCAGGACCACTTGGGAACAAAGCCCCATGCAATGAGCGACGTGGTCAGCTGCCCTAGGGGCCAGAAGACAGATAGCAGCGTCAACATTTGTTGGCGCGCACCAGGAAGGAATTCCAGAAAAAGCATACCATCGACGGGCAGACTGCCTCCAATACCAAAGCCTGCGCAAGCAATCAGCGACGCCAGCGCCACAAAGCTCTTAGCACCTCCGGCTGCCGTGCCAAACACACCACAAAGCAGTAGCGTCGCATTGAAGGAGAATCGGCGACCCACAATATCCGCCGCATAGCCCCAAAATGCGGCACCCAGAATAAGACCCACGTACAAGGCCAAGGTCAGGAAGGCCTCTCGTCGGTTCGTGGGCTCGTTGGGGTGAAATTCGTTGTAGGCCGAGGAGAGAATCACAGCGACCAACTGCAGCCATGCATTATCAAGGAACCAGCCCACGCCCGATACCAACAAAAGACCGTACTGCCACCAAGTCATGCCGATATGCTCGTTCATGATCTTGTTCATGATGTACACCTTGCGTCGATAGATCTCATCCACCGCCGAGGCCTCTACATGCAAGAAACCAACGTGCAGATCCTCTTCCAGCGGATTCTCCTTGTCTTTTTCATCATGAGGTGCAACCATATGCTGCACTTCCACGTCGGGGACGTCGTTCGCTGGCGTAGGGGAGGCAGCCATGCTGAGCGGGAAAGAGATTCTTCTGGAGGTAGCTATCTCAGATGGATCTGCACAAAAAGGAAAGAAAAAATGTGACAAGAGTGGGATTCGAACCCACGCCTCAGAGAGACTGCGAATTGTTAAGGTTTTGCTAAAGCAAGCCTGAACACAGCGCCTTGGACCGCTCGGCCATCTTGCCTTCCGATGCGGTCCACACGGGTCCAGAGATTACATCAAGCCTGGCAACGTCATGCCAAGGCGTCAAAAGTATGTGACAAGAGTGGGATTCGAACCCACGCCTCAGAGAGACTGCGAATTGTACAGGTATTGCTACTGCAAGCCTGAACACAGCGCCTTAGACCACTCGGCCATCTTGCCTGCATGCTATGATTCGGTCTGAGCTTGGCTCCTAGAAACCAACAGCATGTTTACGACCACCAGCTTTCCCACGCTTCCACGCCATCTCGACTGGATGCTATAGCAAGTCGCGTACCACTTGGCAGATGATAGGAAATGGTCGAGCCCTTGTGCGTCGTTCTGTACAATTTGGCCTCATCCACATGGATCAGGGGAGTCACGGGCGTCACGACCATGGGAGGCGACGGAGTGTGCTCAAGGGCCAGGCCTACCATCTCATAGGAATAGGGCCGGGTATAGGTAGCATCGGATGCGTAGGGCTCTGGGAATGTGGTCGCATGGACTGGGGGGGCTGCCGTCTCCATGGAAGACAGCATGCCCTGCTCCTCTGTGGCGGGAGCCGGAGTTGTAGTATATGCATCCATGTAGAGCCGTGGTGGTAATGGCTCGTCGTCATCTCTGGTATATCCAAGCGGCCGCAGAGTGGGTCGCGGCAGCATGTAGGACCATGCATACCGTGTCCCATAAATACGGCGGGGCGGCATGCGCATCTGCATGTTACTGTACAAAGCACGAATGTCCACAGGCGGTATAGAGTCCGCCACCGAAGGGTCAGCATCGATAAAGAGACCGATGCCATAGTGGTTTGCCACGCTCATGTTTGGCCAGGAGTGTGCATGTGGAGAAGACGCGTCGGGCCGCGCGGGGGAAAAACCAACGTGGCCGCTTCGTTGTGGCTGGTGTGCCGGCGGGCATGGATGACTCGGCTGCGCTTCTCGCGCAGTTTTCCTCTCGGCTGGAACCGAGCTTGATCCTTGCCATTTCGCAGGAGCCTGGTCAATCTCGCGCACAGGCTGAGGCCATCCTGGAAGAGCTGGCCGCTGCCGTTCCGCCCGATATGGTACCCGATGAGCCGGAGCCGTGGATCGACGGTGGGCTTCTCTTTCTGCAGCAGTCGTTCCCTGAAAAGCCAGCCAACGTACTCGAACGTGCATGGGAGGACTCTAAGGGTGATGTTGATGCGGCTATGGACGAGTTGCTAGCGCAGGATCTGCTAGAGGCAGAGTCTTTCGCTCCGTCCCCTGCGAGCCGCCGCGGCCTCGATCTAGAGGCTCTCGCTGCAGGCATGTCGTCAAAAAAGTCCAAGTCCAAGAAAAATAAAGAGAAAAAGAGCCGAGGACCCGTGACAGTGAGCTTGACGGACCAACGCAGCCCAAATCATATCCTGTACGCGGCACGAGCAGCACCGAAACCTATGGCGCTGCCCCTCCCTGCCGATGCCACTGGTCTTGACGACGAAGAGATTGCTCGGAGGTTGCAGAACGCTGAGCGCAATGCAGCTGACGCATCTAGTCTACCGGTGCCAGACCAGCAATGGCTCTTGGCGTCGTCCTCGCTTTCCCAACTGGCTGTGCTGCTGGATCTACCCATGTCTCGCGTCCAAAGCCTATTTCACCAAGCCTCGTTCCACCTGCCCAAGACTGTGGGCCGCGCCATCCAATGGGCCGCGTCCGATCCTGCCGCCGATGCCCTGGCACAGACAGACGACTTTCGGACGGCATGCGAGACGCTGAGCGCCATCACGGAGCGGCCCGTGTGGCATGTCGAGCGACTTTTGCGCGCCACACGGGGGCACCAGGATGCTGCCCTGGACCTGCTTCAGCTAGAAGACGTCGTGCAAGAAGGGGCCGATACCCTACACCCAGGCCCCGACGTCCTGGATCCCGGTGGCCTAGTCTCTATTCAGGCTCCGAGTGCCGAGCGGCTTACGGCGACCGTGTCACAGCGAATGGCCGTGTCGGGCGGCACGCCCCAATGGCTCTCGACCGACAGCGGCACGTACGCAGGCCGAGCGTCCCAAGCGCCCACGCCGCCCGCCGGCGCGCAGCGTGCACAGGCTGCGGTGCGAACAGGGCACGCTGTTACCGTGCTCCCTGGCTCTGCCGCCCAGGTGGATGTGGTACCTGGCCATGCTGAGGACGACACACCTTATACCCGCGAAGAAAGTCTGCGCCGCGCCGCTGATGCACGGGCGATGCGCGATGCTGCCCTGCAACAGGCCGCACGTTGCGCGCGGCAGTCGCGGAGCTCGGGTGTAGGCGGCGCGGCGATGGTCTATGCAGCCGAGGCCCGGAAGCACGATGCCACTGCGCGGCGCTGGCAGTTGCGCGCTGCGTCCGCGCTTGTGGAGCAGCGGAGTTTGGACGCGGGAGCGCCTGCCAGTGGAGCGTGTGCCCCCATCGATTTGCACGGCCTGACTGTGCACGAATCGCTCACGGTCGTGGCGCAAAGTGTCGCGCGGTGGCAGAGCACGCCGCTCGGCGAATCGCGCGCGCGCCCCCCGCTGGAAATCATCACCGGGCGCGGCACGCACAGCCGCCACTACCAGTCCGTCATCCGCCCGGCCATTGTACGCTACCTCACGCAACGGGGCTTTACGGTGGACAGTTCGAGCGATGCAGGCGTGCTCTATGTCAAGGCGCGGCGTCCCTAGCGGTGCGGCATGCACGACCAGGGCGGCCCCCGTTGCCTTGCGTGGCTGCCTGCGAGGAAGCGTTGTGATAGGCTGTGTAGACTTGATCGGGCGAGGTCGCGTAGCTCATCGGGCCTGCATAGCCCTGCGCCGTGGAAGCGGTTGCGCTGCCTTGTTCTCTGCTAGGTCACGACATTGGCTGCTGCACCCTCTTGTTGCGCGGCTCTCCAGCGTGTGGCGGGTCATTGTATGCACGTCGAGGGCGCCCAAGACATTGACCAGGGTCTTTGGCGGAGTGCGCCATGGAGGGCCTCGACGTAAATGAATGGGACCTGCAGCGCGAAGTGCAGGTGCTTCGTGCGCACCGGCGCTTGTCCGCGAGTCACCCTGCGGCCATTGACCCCGACTTTCCAGGGCTGGCCTCCCCTCCTTCCCCCACATCTGCCGACTCACTAGACACTTCTCTCAGCTCATCACCCGCATCGTCGTCGGCCAGTGCGTCGCCGCCCGGCACACCAGAGATGGCCGACGAGCCCTTTGATGCGAGCCGCTTCCAAGAAGCTTCTCCCATCTTTGGGTCGTCGCAACGCCAGCGGTACCTTGCGCGACGGCAGATGCGCCTGTCCCGGGCACCGCCCGGTACATCACAGCCCCTACCGAAGCCGTCGGCGCACGCCGCGTCAGGCCCCTCTAACGAGCTGTGGGTATCGGCTTCGATCCATCCCGAGGTCAGTCCTTCCGAGTTTCGCGCTTTCCTGCGCGAGCAGGCAGAAAAAAACGTGAGCCTGCATTCCGCCGAAGCCGTAACATCACAGGACTTGGCGGCACGATACCTGGCGCGCTCGGCGTCACTTACACGACGAGGTAGCTCCCTTCGAAAACAGGTCGAGGGAGACGAACGGGATACGCCGCCTCCCTCACCTGAGAAGGAGGCTTTACTGGCGGTGCCCAAGACCGCCGACGCCCCAGAGGTCTTTGCTCCTGCGATACCCCCTGTTCCCCCCCCCTACCGATGCGAACCACTGGCAGCGAGCGCGCTCCATACCCCCTCGGCATGTGCGTGAGACGGCCCGCTCGTACCGAAAGCCACCCCCTGCTATCCCGCCGATGCTCACAGCCGCTGCGGGCCCCGAGGCACCATCGCACTATGTGGCGCCCGGCAGCCTGCAAGGACGTGCGCGAACCCTGTCGGACTCCCCTGTGGCCCAGCGCGCTGTGACACCACCACCGCCACCACCGCCCACACCATCGACACCACCACCACCACCGCCCGCATCCACGCCACCTCCCAGCCGCCAGCTGCCCCGGCCTGTACGGCCTCGCCCTGCTGTATCGGACGAGTTAAAGACCAGGCCTGCGGACCTGCGCGCCATGCTACCCCAGAAAGGCGATTTGCCGCGTCTACCTACAGAGGCATCTACGCCGCCGCGCTCGGCCTCGCCGGAGCGGATCCGGCGACCCCTCCCGGAAGTTCGACCGGTGCCACGCGCCGAGGTGGAACGCCATGAAGGAACTCGGCCCCTCCCACGCGTGCCGCCCGAGCGCGAGGCACCGTTACGGCGAAGCGAGGAGCAAGATGCGCGCCCCTCGCGTGTCTCGGACGAGCCGGTGCGGCCCTCTGCCTCGCGAGACCGCAAGACCTTTGGGCTTTCGTGGTTTGGGCTATCCAAAGACGACGACGAAAGCAAAACACGACGCAAGGAACGCGAGCGCACAGACGAAGAGACGCCGCCTAGCACGCCGCGGCGCGAGAAGGACACGTTCCTTGCGAACCTGTTTGGCAAGCGCAAAGGCCTCGATACATACGATCTGCGACACCGCGCGCGGCACCTATTTTCGTCGTCAAGTGGTGGCATGGCTTCTGGGCCGGTGGATGTGCGCTACCCCTTTGCCACGGAGCGGGCGCTGTATCGCCTCTCGCATGTGAAGCTATCCCATCCCCGCCGCCCACTGCAGCAGCAGGTGGTCATTTCGAACCTCATGTTCTGGTACCTATCTGTGATTCATTCCGCGCAAACGCGACCGATGCCCTCATCCACGGCCGAGCGACGGGGTCTGGGGCCGAGTGAGTACGACGAGCGCCTGCAACGACATCAGTCAGGTACAGGTCCGGTGGCAGTACATACGGGCACGTTGCTGCGTGCGGTGCCTCGTCCCGGCTTGTCGCCGGCCATGCTCAGCATGTACGGGGCACCAGCAATGCCGCCAGCATGGACCATGGCGCCCATGGTGGCGCATACCGACGATGCGCATGTGCCTTATGCGTCGCACGCCCCGCCTGGCATGCCACTCATGCGTACCGCCCGTGGCCCGCTCCCGCCGGTGCCCGGACATGCGGGCGCCGAAGCACCGCGCACTGTGCGGCAGAGTCATCTCGACGAGCATTTGGACCAAGTGAAAAGCCAGGCACTGTCCACCCAGCACGCGCTGCGGCACGCTCGTAGCTCGCCCTCCCTGAGCCGCTCGCCGTCGCCGGCGCCGCGGCCACTCATGCATAGATCCCATGCACCATAGATCCACGTGCTCTCTTTGCGCCCTTTCTTCGAGC